ACCCGCCCTCGAGGAGTTTCTTAAATTAAAGATTAAAGAGTAGATTATTTTAAAAAAGGGAAAAGGAAAGGACAGGAGGAGGACGTGGACGAGGACCTCCTTGTAGTGAGAGGAACTTTTTTGAACTCGTTCTTTTGAAAGGTTTAATTTTGTAAAGCAAGAACAAAAATGCCCAAAAAGAAGTCAGGTATGTTTCTTCAGTGTGTCTTAGGGTTGTTTGAAATATTTTTATTTTTTATTATTGTTTCTTATGTAAGTGATTATGTGTAAATGTTTCAGTTCCTTGTCTTTTATGATTATGTGTTTGCTTTTCATGGGAATTAAAAGAATTAGGTGTTTAGTAGGGTTGTTTGTTTTTTTGTGGTTGGTGTTTGAGTCACTGATTTGAAAACAGTTTTTGCTAAAATTGATTTCAAGAATTGATGCTTGTTTTCAGTTATTTCCTTTGTTTTTATTGCCTGGTGTGAGATAGACAAAGAAGGCTATCTTGATAGGACTCTGCTATGAATAGATATATATATCTATAGGTTTTGATTCAAGCAGTTTAGTCTTCTTGATTATAGATTCAATATATAACAATGGTTAGGTTTTTACTCAGCTTTCATATACATGTTACTTCAGTTTTGACGAAGTAACCATGTAAATTTTCTACACAGTATGTATTTTTCCATCTTCAGGTATTGAATAATTGTAGTCGTCAGTGCTGTTAGGGAATTTCATTAAAAAATGAAATTGTTTTAACATAAAAAGATGGTCATTATAGTCATTATAGCAATTTACATCACATTCTCCAAGAGTTTGAGTCATTGCGTCCTTGGCAAAAGATTTTGACAAAGCAATGTTGCAGAGCTGAGTTAGTTTAGGTCAAGTAACTTTGTGTTTTACTAAAGATGCAGTGATGACTACTGCCAGTCAAACAGTATTTGCAAATTACATAGTCACTGCTGGTTGAATGTACATATTTGGTTAATGTATTTGATAACTGTTTAAAAAATATTTGTGAATCTACTAGTGGTCTGACATTTACCCATGTGTTACCCATGTCAAGGGCCAAATGTACTTTGTCAGACAGTAGCCAATTTAATTACAAGGAAAAAGTCCCAATTTCAAGCCATTGTCAGTGTCTTCTCAACTTTTTCCGTGTAGTGTATGATGGTAATCCAACTTTTTTTTTTTTTGTATTTTTTATTTGAATCACTTATGCAGGTAGGGTTCATATTGATTTAAGTTTTACTCAGTCACATAGGTTATTTGTATCTTTTCATGATTCTTTTAACTAAGGAGTGTATCAAATTTAAGAGCATTTTTTTTTTTTTTTTTTATCATATATGACCAGTTGATTTTATTTTAATGTGAAAATTATAATATTAAGAATTTCTTGAAATCTCATAAAGGATATACCTTATTGTACTTATTACAAATAAATGTCATTGCCATATTATGATTTTTTCACATGATTTATTGACAATTCTAAACACACATGATTTTAAAAGAATATTAGATATTTTCAGATATACACCAAATTCTAATTTTTGGCATATATGACTGTAACCCAGCAACACTGGAATTTATTTTTTTGGTATTAATAATATCAATTGTAATAACTCCACCCCTATGTGATTGTGTCCAAGTTTTCATAGTGAGGAATAGAACATGACAAGACACTACCCACCTTTGTCATTATTTGCTCTGATATGTTGTTAAATGTGACAACAGCGGGCTTGGCTGGAAGGATCAAATGAATTTGTTTTCAATCTTTAAGTTGTTTGTCGTTATTTTTTAAGGAAAGACAGAATTAATTCTGAATCAGTATTTTTTTTTTTTCCTTTCTTTCTTTCTTTCTTTCTATCTGTCTCATGGATACCTTCATTCACTCTAGACCTTTTTTTCTTTCTAATTCCTTCCTTCACTCTTTCACTGTCACTCCTTTCTTTTTTTTCTCTCATTCATTCTTTTATTCTCTCTTTCTGCCTTGTTGGGTGAAAAGTGTTGTCATCATTGGATTATGCGTCTACTGCCGATTCTTCAAAATTTTTCTCTGCATCTCGGCCTTTTTCAGTACACCGCTGTCATTGTCATCGATAATAGTACACTATCTTTTCTTCATCATCTTCTCTTTTTCTTCCCAAATGAAATAATTCCCTTAGATGTTGCAGCTTTTTGAAGGATTGCACTATTCATAATGATTACCTAATTCATTAGCTTGTTAATTATCACTTGTATTCCAAAGACTATAAGTTTTAGAATTAGAATGAAAAGTTTTTATGCAAATATATAAATGTTTTTTGCATTTTTGTTTCATTGTGTAGATTAAATACAGTTTCAGGAGAAGTATTAAGAAATGAAAGAATAACTGAATCAATGTTAAAAATTAATAGATCGAATGATATTATATTGATATTATGATTATTTTTTAAGAAACTTTTACTTTGTATTTTATGTTTCTTGGGTATTTTTTAGGTTCTTTATGACCTTTATGATTCATAGTTTCAAAGTTGCAAATGATGTTGAAAAAGTTAACTTACTGAAATTTGTACTTAGATGCTTACAGAAATATTTTCTTAGTTTATTAAGGGGAAAAGAGGACTGGTAGATGGACTTGGTAATGGATGAAGTGTGTTGATTAATTGATTTATTATTTTTGTTATATTTGCTATTAGATTTCCTTTTTGTATTTAATTGTTCTGTCAATATCATTATTATTTTTTATTATTTATTATTATTATTATTATTATTATAATAATTATCATTATTATTATTATTATTATTATTATTATTATTATTATTATTATTGATATTATTATTGTTATCATCATTTTTTATTATTATTATTATTATTGTTATTATCATTCCCTTTTTTATAATTATTATTATTATTGTTATTATCATTCCCTTTTTATTATTATTATTATTAGTATTGTTATCATCATTGCCTTTATTGTTATCACTGATATAATATTATCATCATTATTGATACTATTACTAGAATTATATTTGATACCAATACTATCAGCATCACTATGATTAATTTAAGATTAATTTGGCCTTTAGTCCATTTTCAAATTCCCAATACTATTAAGCTTCCTGTAGTTATATGTAATATAACACATTTAGCAAGTAGTATTGTTCATTTTGGAATCTGAAACTAATGACCCAGTTAATGTAGATATAGAATTTAGAAAAAAGAAACATTAATGATCTGTTTTTGTATAAAGAAATCATTGTTATGTTGGACTTTGCATGAATTACTTGAATAAATCAGATTTTTGAGTGACTTGCAATAGTTCGTATTAATGAGTGATTGCTAATTGTCTCTAAATGAAAAAGAAGAGTAGTGTTATTTGCATGGAGTACATTGTTTGACCAACTTAACAGACTATAACATTGTGTTCTAACCTGTATATACATTTGTGAAGAGATCCTGGTGTAATTTGTGTAACAAGTTGCGTATTATTATTTGTTGCTTTATTGTCTAATTTGATAATGATATTTTTAGAAATAAGATGCGTATTTTTATTTAATGCTATTCAGGGTTCTTATGTTTTTCACCTTGTTATAATAAATGTTTGTATGAATTATTTAGGTCATGAAATTTAGATATATTTGAGAAATGTTATATTTTAGATTTCTGGTATTTCGAAGGTAAATCGGACTTTTGAATGAGGAGAATTTGTGAGAATTGAGATGTTACTTATTGATAATCTTAAAAGATTTTTCATTTAGCTGTGTGAATAAGATCAGTGATGATGATATTCCATATAATGTGTTTATGAGATTGCTTTTAGGTATATATATAATAACAGCAACAAAGTTGAAAAATTTAATAGATAATGGTTTTAATAACATTGTCAGGCAACAGGATTGCAAATGAATGATGTTCCAGTTAGCTTTAGAACTGATATGATAAACTATGTAAAAGAGTGTCGACTGGGAAATGAGTCGGAGCACAATTCTTGGACTTTTCAGCTTGGACAAAGAATGAGTACGTAGGATGAAAATGGACAGCACACGAGGAGAGTCCTGTAGTGATATCTAAATGTGCAACATGTTTAATACCATGCTTTGATATATATTGCCACAGAAGTTTATTATAATTATTTCATTAATGTTCACTGAGGTTTAGGCCATCTCTTGACTCTGTGGACAGGTTTATATGAGCTGGATATCATTAGAAAGGTAGACCTTGGATATGCCATTTGCTGAGGTAGACTTGGTTATACATTCTGATCCATTTTGTGTTGGAAAGTAAAGGAAGGTTTCAGTGCAGATGTTTCTTTAAAATTTCTTGAATATATTTTAGCATGTAATTTTGAATACATTTCCCACAGATGTTTGGTGCTAATTTGTGATTGGGAGAGTTAGGAAGCTTTTCTTCCCACTAAAAGATGTTGCAGTAATTTTGTATTCGTGGCAAGATATAAGATAAAGTTTGTTAGGATTACCTGTACAGAAGACATACATAGGTGTTGAGATAGATTAGACCAGGTAATTGATATTACTTCAGATCAGATAGATGGTAGATAAAGTTTGAAGTAAAAAATTGAAATTATGTTAGATGTATTTCAGTTTCGTTTATTTATTTCTATTTTGGAAAAGATCTTCAAAGAGGATGTATAAATTCAAAAAAAAAAAAAAAAAAAAAATCCAGGTATCTCGGTTGATTTAAGGTAGTGAGTAAATTGACTTACAGTATTAGATATCAAATTAACCAACTCACTGATCAGTGATAATAAATGAAACATGCAATTGATAGTAGAGAGTAGGATTGATTATTAGCTTCAGAGTTCAGTTCACAAATTCTCCTTAATGAAGAAGTTAATAAAAAAAAAATAATAGATAAATAGATAAAATGATAGAAATGCCACACAAAGTATCCTCGTAAACACCCCTTTCCCATCCACCTCCCAGCTGTTACAAACAGCAGCAGCCTGGCGGCCGATTTCAAGACAGGGAGTGGGGGCTCCCCAGACTCCCCAAACAACCCCAAGAAGAAAAGACGG